GGTCTTTTACATGTTCCTTTCGTTCTATTTGGTGACCCTCTTGAGTTTTGTATATAGTATTCCTTTTGAGTTCTTCATTCTGTCCATACCTAAGCAGCTGGAACTTATCACCAGTGAATGTCATGTTGTTTTCAACTGCCCACTGGAAAACTTTTTTTTTTTTCAACAAGTCAGCCGTCTCCCACCGAGGCAGGGTGACCCAAAAAGAAAGAAAATCCCCAAAAAGAAAATACTTTCATCATCATTCAACAATTTCACCTCACTCACACATAATCACTGTTTTTGCAGAGGTGCTCAGAACACAACAGTTTAGAAGCATATACGTATAAAGATACACAACATATCCCTCCAAACTGCTAATATCCCAAAACCCCTCCTTTAGAGTGCAGGCATTGTACTTCCCATTTCCAGGACTCAAGTCCGGCTATATAAAAATAACCGGTTTCCCTGAATCCCTTCACTAAATATTACCCTGCTCACACTCCAACAGATTGCCAGGTCCCTAATACCATTCGTCTCCATTCACTCCTATCGAACACACTCATGCACGCTTGCTGGAAGTCCAAGCCCCTCACCCACAAAACCTCCCTTACCCCTTCCTTCCAACCTTTTTGAGGACGACCCCTACCCCGCCTTCCTTCTCCTACAGATTTAAATGCTCTCCATGTCATTCTACTTTGATCCATTCTCTCTAAATGACCAAACCACCTCAACAACCCCTCTTCAGCCCTCTGACTAATACTTTTATTAACTCCACACCTTCTCCTAATTTCCACACTCCGAATTTTCTGCACAATATTTACACCACACATTGACCTTAGACAGGACATCTCCACTGCCTCCAACCATCTCCTCGCTACTGCATTCACAACCCAAGCTTCACACCCATATAAGAGTGTTGGTACTACTATACTTTCATACATTCCCTTCTTTGCCTCCATAGATAACGTTTTTTGACTCCACATATACCTCAACGCACCACTCACCTTTTTTCCCTCATCAATTCTATGATTAACCTCATCCTTCATAAATCCATCCGCTGACACGTCAACTCCCAAGTATCTGAAAACATTCACTTCTTCCATACTCCTCCTCCCCAATTTGATATCCAATTTTTCTTTATCTAAATCATTTGATACCCTCATCACCTTACTCTTCTCTATGTTCACTTTCAACTTTCTACCTTTACACACACCCCCAAACTCATCCACTAACCTTTGCAATTTTTCTTTAGAATCTCCCATAAGCACAGTAACATCAGCAAAAAGTAACTGTGTCAATTCCCATTTTGTATTTGATTCCCCATAATTTAATCCCATCCCTCTCCCGAACACCCTAGCATTTACTTCCTTTACGACCCCATCTATAAATATATTAAACAACCATGGTGACATTACACATCCCTGTCTAAGACCTACTTTTACCAGGAAGTAGTCTCCCTCTCTTCTACACACCCTAACCTGAGCCTCACTATCCTCATAAAAACTCTTTACAGCATTTAGTAACTTACCACCTATTCCATATACAGTGGACCCCCGCATAACGATCACCTCCGAATGCGACCAATTATGTAAGCGTATTTATGTAAGCGCGTTTGTAAGTGTATGTTTGGGGATCTGAAATGGACTAATCTACTTCACAATATTCCTTATGGGAAGAAATTCGGTCAGTACTGGCACCTGAACATAATTCTGGAGTGAAAAAATATCGTTAACCGGGGGTCCACTGTACTTGCAACATCTGCCACATTGAACCCCTATCCACTCTATCATATGCCTTTTCTAAATCCATAAATGCAATAAAAACTTACCTACCTTTATCTAAATACTGTTCACATACATGCTTCAATGTAAACACTTGATCTACACATCACCTACCCACTCTGAAACCTCCTTGCTCATCCTCAATCCTACATTCTGTCTTACCTCTAATTCTTTCAATAATAACCCGACGGTACACTTTTCCTGGTATACTCAATAAACTTATTCCTCTATAATTTTTACAATCTCTTTTGTCCCCCTTCCCTTTATATAAAGGGACTATACATGCTCTCTGCTAATCCGTAGGTACCTTCCCCTCTTTCATACATTTATTAAACAAAAGTACCAACCACTCCAACACTATATCCCCCCCTGCTTTTAACATTTCTGTCATGATCCCATCAGTTCCAGCTGCTTTACCCCCTTTCATTCTCCGTAATGCCTCACGTACCTCCCCCACACTTACATTCTGCTCTTCTTCACTCCTAAAAGATGGTACACCTCCCTGGCCAGTGCATGAAATTACCGCCTCCCTTTCTTCCTCAACATTTAAAAGTTCCTCAAAATATTCTCGCCATCTACCTAATACCTCCCTCTCCCCATCTACTAACTATACTATACTATAATTTTTCATTGTCCTCTACCATAGTGACTTTCATGCTTATTTTAGCGTCATCTACAAATGATGATACGAAAGTGTGATGGGTGCTTTGATCTATCTGCTATATGGATGAGAAACAGCAGAGGTGCCAGGACAGCCAGAAACAGCAGAGGTGCCAGGACAAATACTAGTCAATTCTGGCTCAGACACAGATTTACAAGTACGTATATGTGAGAGGAGTAAATCATCACAGTAGTCAAAAGATGGGTCCAGGAGCTGTAACTCTCTGGCAGAAAGGCAGCTAAGTAAATACTGGTGCCCTGGTAGCCGAGTTACTTCACCATGGTTCACACTGTTATTTCAATGCATGTCCCCTCCACAAGTTGCTATTATTATATACAAAGACATCAGTGACAGGCTTAACCTTTTCGCTACAGCATAATGTTCATAAACTCTTCTCTCACAGACAAAATGGTGCTCTTTATCATAACAAAACATTCACAGTTTGTCTCTACTCCCCTCTCTCTCCCTTCTCCTCTCTCTCCCTTCCCCCTCCTCTCTCTCTTTCCCTCCCTCTCTCTCTTTCTCTCTAACATTCTTCCCTTCTTTAGTCCTTCCCTCCAACCCACCCTCACTCACTGCATCCATTTATTCCATCCTTGCTTCACTCAGTTTTCCTTTATTCACCTTCTCTCTCACTTGCTCCTTCCCTCATTTATTCTCTCCCTCCCTCTGAGGAAGTACTCTGGCAGCAGGAAAGGTTAATAAACAGATATAAGCAAGGTTGACCCATTACAGCAGTCTTGGTACACTGGTGGGCCTAATTACAAGGGCTGCCCTAAAACACACACACTACTTGATCATGGCATTTTATGGATGGCACTCAGCCCTCCCTACCTCCCCCCTGTTAGGTGCTACAGCGCTGGTACAACAGTGTAACAGCAGGTACAGGAGTTGTCAACCCCTGCAAAGGTAAGGGGTGGTACACCCAGGTAAAGCATGTTAGAAAAATATTAAAGCAATGTAAACATATAGCATGATATAGCTGTGGCCGGCTTTGAAGGTTTCTTACCCTTGCAACATGACCTAGGACCAGTCTTTCCTACTGACTCACTGCCCCATGTAGCCATCACAGTTTGGTTATGTGGTTTGGTTATTCAGTGCTTTTAACTGTCTGTTACTGCCATTACCTATCAGCCAGCTCTGCAACCAGCAACTAGCTACGGTCAGCCGGGCTGTGGTTCATACGTTGGAATGCGTGGGGTCAGCAGTAACAGTCTGGTTGATCAGGTCCTGATCCACCGGAAGGCCTGGTCAAGGATTGCACCGCAGGGGCGTTGACCCTCAGAATGGCCTCCAGGTAGACTCCAGGAAGGTAGAAATCAGTCACAGTAATGCAGACAATACTACAAATAGTGCAGACATAAATCCCAATACGGTATTACAGATATCAGTCACAATTATAAATCAAGGCTCATACCATAGCTATAATTTATTGCAAGTCATAGGCTGTAATTCACAACAAATTTTGAGGAAAAGAAATTTCCCTGCTACTTAGGCCGAAAAACAAATGAGTTTCACGGAACCCTTTAAAAGAGTAGTAAGTTGCCACCAACACTTCCCTCACCACCACAGTCACTATGAACATCATCACCCCTGACATCACCACAGTCACCATCACAGACACCAACACCATTCCCCACCATTTGGACATTGCTGGTGAATAGTGTGTGAGGTGACTGCCACCATTCACTCACCCCAGACTCATTTATCAGCGCTAACTTATTCATAATGCACCAAACAAACTCAACACCTCACTCCAAGGCAACTGTATCCTCTTATTTTCTCACTTCCCTTTATTTCCTGTCTCCCATTCCTCTGTCAAGACCCTCCATCCCCCCTCCTCCTCCTCCTCCTCCATTACTCACCCTTTTCACACAGCAAACCTCTTACACACACCTTCCTCACAGATGTTTTGGGAAAGTGTATTCTACATATCAGTATTTTCAATGCAAAGTGTGAAACTATCATACAATTCATTCACACTGATGCTTGAAAATTTCAATGTTTTCAATGCAAAGTGTGAAAGTATCATACAATTGTATAAAATAAATTGGTATACTGATATTCAAGAAAAAATAATTTTACACCAGCTATAATAAACACTTAAAACAAGGTTTATCGACTCCCTAAGCCTGCCTTCTGAATTAACACTACTTAACTCTCAGGTCTCAGCAAAAATTAATGCTTTTAATGACATTGCCAAAGTGTATTTGGTGTAGCTAATTTTTATTTCTACCTACACAACAATTAGTAAATAACAGAAGAACATACCAGCAGACCTGTTTCAGTTTTTTTAACTTTACTGCCGTCTCCCACCAAGGCAGGGTGACCCGAAAAAGAAGAAACAGTTTTTCTTTTTTTTTTTTGCATTTAGCAATTTATACAGAAGGGGCTAATATCCCCTTGCTCCTGGCATTTTAGTTGCCACTTAAAACACACATGGCTTGAACTTAAATGATTTGCTGGTATGTGTCCCAGCCCGGGTCTTTTCCAGATGGTGACCCAGTCCACATGGCTAACGGAAGAAGGACTCTTCTTCACACCTAATTCAATAGGGTAATAAAATAAATACATACCGACATAAGCAGTCCAGTGTGATACGAGAGGCTGGTGGTGAACCAGGCAGAGGTTGATAACATCTTGGCAGTATGGTAGGCATGGCACCACTCCCTGGTGACCTTCACATGTAGCACAGTGAGTCATCCTCATCAATTCATGGACACAACTCACGCTTGGGTTCACCTGTACCATATAAAATATCACATAAAAAAGGGAGCTTACAAACATATCAAGTTTTGACCAAATATTAATAAACAACAAGTAAGAGGGAGGTGAAAGTGTATAAACTAAGGGAGGAGGAAGTTCGGGTGAGATATAAGCGACTATCGGCAGAAAGGTGGGCTAGTGCAAAGATGAGTAGTGGGGGGGTTGAAGAGGGTTGGAATAGTTTTAAAAATGAAGTATTAGAATGTGGGGTAGAAGTTTGTGGTTATAGGAGGGTGGGGGCAGGAGGAAGGAGGAGTGATTGGTGGAATGATGAAGTAAAGGGTGTGATAAAAGAGAAAAAGGTAGCTTATGAGAGGTTTTTACAAAGCAGAAGTATTATAAGAAGAGCAGATGAGTGGGAGAGGCACTGTCAAGAAATTTTAATGAAAATAAGAAAAAATTTTTGAGTGAGTTAAACAAGTTAAGAAAGCCTAGGGAAAGTATGGATTTGTCAGTTAAAAACAGAGTAGGGGAGGTAGTAGATGGGGAGATGGAGGTATTAGGTAGATGGCGAGAATATTTTGAGGAACTTTTAAATGTTAAGGAAGAAACAGAGGCAGTAATTTCATGCACTGGTCAGGGAGGTATACCATCTTTTAGGAGTGAAGAAGAGCAGAATGTAAGTGTGAGGGAGGTACGTGAGGCATTACGTAAAATGAAAGGGGGTAAAGCAGCTGGAACTGATGGGATCATGACAGAAATGTTAAAAGCAGGGGGGATATAGTGTTGGAGTGGTTGGTACTTTTGTTTAATAAATGTATGAAAGAGGGGAAGGTACCTAGGGATTGGCAGAGAGCATGTATAGTCCTTTTATATAAAGGGAAAGGGGACAAAAGAGACTGTAAAAATTATAGAGGAATAAGTTTACTGAGTATACCAGGAAAAGTGTACGGTAGGGTTATATTTGAAAGAATTAGAGGTAAGACAGAATGTAGGATTGCGGATGAGCAAGGAGGTTTCAGAGTGGGTAGGTGATGTGTAGATCAAGTGTTTACATTGAAGCATATATGTGAACAGTATTTAGATAAAGGTAGGGAAGTTTTTATTGCATTTATGGATTTAGAAAAGGCATATGATAGAGTGGATAGAGGAGCAATGTGGCAGATGTTGCAAGTACAGGAGGGCCCCACTTATACGGCGGGTTAGGTTCCAGGCTACCGCCGTAAAGCGGAAACTGCCGTAAAGTGGAACACCCTTTTTTTCCACTTACAAGTGCATACAAACACTAGATAACAAGTTTACACTAACATATATTATGTTAGCAATAGAACCAGGCATCAAAAAAACAATAAAAAAGTACAATACACACATAGTGCACTCATTACTTACCTTAAAATATTTATAGTCTTAATCTAGGGTGAGACAAGTAGTATTTATTGTAAGAAATCAAGTGTGGTATGTATGGTAGTCAGCCAGGCTACCATACCAGGCCACCCCACCCACACATACTATTCTATGATATTTAAGCATCCCAGAGCGATAAAATGTATATACAGTTCACTCATTACTTACCTTAAAATATAGGGCGAGATGAGTAGTATTTATTGTAAAAAATCAAGTGTGGTACGTATGGTAGTCAGCCAGGCTACCATACCAGAGAAAGAATGAGTGCATGAGAGAGGACAGGCGCAGAGTTATGTAAACAAACCAGGCGAAGGTAAGTTTTGTAAATGAAGTGTACACGTCTGGTTTGTGTACAAGTTACATTGTGTACAGGTTGTCTCTACATTGATACGGTAGAATAAATAAAGAAGAACACTCCCATTCTCATGTAACATCATTTTGAGAAGAAATGATGCTCTGAGTGAAGGCAATGGAAGTAAGTCACTCTGACTTTTTTGGGTTATCCTAGGTTCTCTACACATATGTTATGTATTTATGTTATGTATCGTGTTTATTATATAATTTTGAAAAAAATATCACGGATGGATTAATGAAAATGTGTATATTAACGTAATATACAACATTTAATGATACACCGAGCTCAGACAGCGTAAACAAACAAACTGAACAGGTTGTGGACGATCACTCGGTCAGGCGAAATAGACGGTATTAATACGTGTCCAGTTTTAGTTCATTCATGTACATTTGTAAGAGTTTGTGAAACTTTTACCTTATAATATTTTATTATTATAATAATTAAATCACGAAACAAATACTCTTACACTGTGTACAAGTTAGTACAAAATTATAGCTATAAAGTGAAGGCATACGAAAGGAATATTTTTCTACAGTTATCCCTAGTAACAGGTGACGGGCTAGAGAAAACGTAATTCTTCCGACACTTCTACAAACCGTTTGGTAAACATCTCATATATATTTGTATAAATTTTTATACTGTGGGTGCATGTATCATGTTTGTGTGTTACATAATGTGTTTCTTATATAATTTTGAAAAAAATATCATAGATAGATTAAGGGAAATGTCTATATTAACGTAATATACGACATTAATGCGCCCAAGAGATTATTATTATTATTATTATTATTATTATTATTATTATTATTATTATTGCATGAAGAGTAGAGAGACTTAGTGATTTTAATGTGTACCTACATGCCAGCACAGTGTGTAAGTTTATTTAGGTACAGGTGTACACAAGTTTAATTATCAAGTACAATACATATAAAATATACAATAACTTTAAAACACTTGAAATTTTGGAAAGTTTCCAGACATAATAAGGAGATGTGCTCAGGGAGAATGTAAACAAACTCGGTGGGCAGCTGTGACCGTATTAGAAAGACAGGTGGGGGGAGCCGTATATCGAGTTTTGGTCATATTTGAAATGTCCGTATTAGCGGAACGCCGTAAAGCGGGGCCCTGCTGTATATGGAATAGGTGGTAAGTTATTAAATGCTGTAAAGAGTTTTTATGAGGATAGTGAGGCTCAGGTTAGGGTGTGTAGAAGAGAGGGAGACTACTTCCCGGTAAAAGTAGGTCTTAGACAGGGATGTGTAATGTCACCATGGTTGTTTAATATATTTATAGATGGGGTTGTAAAGGAAGTAAATGCTAGGGTGTTCGGGAGAGGGGTGGGATTAAATTTTGGGGAATCAAATTCAAAATGGGAATTGACGCAGTTACTTTTTGCTGATGATACTGTGCTTATGGGAGATTCTAAAGAAAAATTGCAAAGGTTAGTGGATGAGTTTGGGAATGTGTGTAAAGGTAGAAAGTTGAAAGTGAACATAGAAAAGAGTAAGGTGATGAGGGTGTCAAATGATTTAGATAAAGAAAAATTTGATATCAAATTGGGGAGGAGGAGTATGGAAGAAGTGAATGTTTTCAGATACTTGGGAGTTGACGTGTCGGCGGATGGATTTATGAAGGATGAGGTTAATCATAGAATTGATGAGGGAAAAAAGGTGAGTGGTGCGTTGAGGTATATGTGGAGTCAAAAAACGTTATCTATGGAGGCAAAGAAGGGAATGTATGAAAGTATAGTAGTACCAACACTCTTATATGGGTGTGAAGCTTGGCTGGTAAATGCAGCAGCGAGGAGACGGTTGGAGGCAGTGGAGATGTCCTGTCTAAGGGCAATGTGTGGTGTAAATATTATGCAGAAAATTCGGAGTGTGGAAATTAGGAAAAGGTGTGGAGTTAATAAAAGTATTAGTCAGAGGCCAGAAGAGGGGTTGTTGAGGTGGTTTGGTCATTTAGAGAGAATGGATCAAAGTAGAATGACATGGAAAGCATATAAATCTATAGGGGAAGGAAGGCGGGGTAGGGGTCATCCTCGAAAGGGTTGGAGAGAGGGGGTAAAGGAGGTTTTGTGGGCAAGGGGCTTGGACTTCCAGCAAGCGTGCGTGAGCGTGTTAGATAGGAGTGAATGGAGACGAATGGTACTTGGGACCTGACGATCTGTTGGAGTGTGAGCAGGGTAATATTTAGTGAAGGGATTCAGGGAAACCGGTTATTTTCATATAGTCGGACTTGAGTCCTGGAAAGGGGAAGTACAATGCCTGCACTTTAAAGGAGGGGTTTGGGATATTGGCAGTTTGGAGGGATATGTTGTGTATCTTTATATGTGTATGCTTCTAAACTGTTGTATTCTGAGCACCTCTGCAAAAACAGTGATAATGTGCGAGTGTGGTGAAAGTGTTGAATGATGATGAAAGTATTTTCTTTTTGGGGATTTTCTTTCTTTTTTGGGTCACCCTGCCTCGGTGGGAGACGACCGACTTGTTGAAAAAAAAAAAAAAATTATCCTTTCCTATACAACATACTGCCATTTGACTATGTATATTAACTTTCTAATGACACGACCAGAATAACTTTTTTAACATTTCCTTTAACACAATCAATAACATATTTTTGTTTTAAGTTTGGTTAGGTCACATAAATTTATAGAAACATATTTTTCCACAAATAAGCAAATTAAGAAATAACCACAGCACAACTGGCAATATCATAGCTGAGAATAACAAAGAAACTTTCAAATTGATGAGTATCACTCATGGTACTAGAATGGGATGTACCACAGCATTCATAGCCTACTTCTATATTAATATGCCAAATTATATTGAATCTTATCTAGTTGTCTACGTCAGAAGTAGAAAACTACAAGAACCAAGGAAGCCAATCTTACAAAGCAATCCTAAAGCACATATAGTAGCAGTTGTGACAGTGGGAAAAAAAAAAATCTTACAGAACTGTATTCCTTATAAGTAATGAGCCACAATAAAATCTCATTATAATACCAAGACATGAGATGCTATGCAGAACACTAACAGGGATCTAAAATAAATCACTGGAGACAAGAGAGCTAATACAAAGCTAGAAAACTGCACAGTACTGATCTTCAAAAAGTGAAATAGACAAGACTCACTAAAGTACAGACCAGTATTGCTGACATGTATACCCCTCACAGCAACAGAGAAAATAATATGGTGTAAAATAGCAAAACCCTGAATAACTAATTTTTTAATATAAAGAGCTCAATCCTGCCTAACCTATAGTAAAGGAATATGATGAGATGAGACAGAAGAAAGAATAGGCAGACTGAATATTTTTAGAAATTTCTGACAATTACTCATAAAAGACTAATTTTTTTAACAAGTGCCATCTCCTACCTCTGGCAAGACACCACTGTCTTGCCAGAGGTGAGGCAGTGGTAGTGTGAATGATGGTGAAAGTGTTTCTTTTTTGGGTCACCTGCCTCAGTGAAAGATGGCCTGCATGTTAAAAAAAAAAAAAACAACTGCAAGTGACTGGGAAGCAACACCAATGGAGGTAAGGAGTTCACTACCAGATAAGGAGAATCGCTAACAGACTTCTAACTGTCTTAAGACAGAGCTTGATAAGTTCCCCACATAAATTCCTGATCAGCAGGGCTGTGGTATCTATGGTGGACAGTGTGAGGCCATCACCAACAGACATTAATCAGGCCATCAACTGGGAGGCCTGGTTCTGGAACCGGGCTGCCAGGGCAGAGACCCTTAGAACTGTCTACAGGTAATGGATAAGAGATCAGCCACAAAATAGAGGGAAGAGAGTCAAAGTGAGAGTTGGTGTCAGGATGGAGAACAGTAGCAAATAGATTACCATACACAAAATAAAAATAACTTGCAGAGATAGGAACAAATCCTCTGAACAAATCCAGTGACAAAATACATGAGAAAAAATATAACGCTTTCTAAATTAGTTGGTATTTAACATTTTAAAACAACATTCTGTATTCACTTAAAAATTCAACATATTTAAGATGCTGAATAAGAAATATGACCAAGCACAAGTCATAAGCACAGTACCTTGAGGACATTTCGCACCACATCCCGTCCTGTTGCAAGCCCTTGAACAAACGTACGCAGAGCAACAAAACTGCGTTTTATTTGAGTTGTTAACTTTTTGGGAACATCTCCAAATGGTTTGAGCTGCTCCATATGACGAGTTGCACATCGTAAATATCTGAAAAAATAATACATATAAAAGTAAATTTCAACTTAATATTATACAAGTGTCTTGCAATGGTACTTAAAATACTGAACAGTTATTTGACAAATACAGTACACAAAAACTTATACTGTACTTAGCTTGCAGGCCTGACACAATGAAATTGCCTTAATGGTTAAAAAACTACAGGAAATTTTTTGGCACATACCTCGCATTGAAAGTGTACTGTGAATTGAAGACCGTAAACATACGCTGATAAAGTCGTTTGAAAAAGTCGTCCATAGTCTCCTGTAGATCAACCTCACCAGTACTGAAGTACTTCTCCAGGTCATCGTAGAGTTTAGTGAAGACATAGGCATTTTGCTGGTAAATAATTCCATATGTCTTTTTGAACATCTCATCAAAGCTTTTCCTACTGTAATTTAGCAGCTTGGCAAAGACCTCTGAAAGACAGGACAGCTTAATTACATGCACTTTGCTGAAACTAATACCAAACCATTGCCAAGACTTAGATTTACTATCACATAAATAAAATAAAGAGAAAATCATATTAATTATTAATCAATCTAAAAATAAGTTATTCATGTTTTAACCACTTCACTGTTGTGACCCCCCAAAATTAGAAGTGCTGACAGTATTGCAATTTAAAAGAAAAAAAAATTTTCTGAAATGGTAGAGAATCCTTTTCTGAAGGAAGACATCAAAAATGCAAAATTTGATGAAAATTTACGGAATTATACAGGTAAAATAGGCATCAGTGATTTTGCCCACTATGAAGCCTATTTTAGGCCAATTCCATTGGCCCAATTACTTACTATTTCATTAGTTCTATCAATTGTTCTATCAACTGAGCACAAGAAACTGCCCCTTCAACTATCATAATTACCCTGTACAGTACCGGGAAGTCAGTAATTTGGTCAATTTTACACAAAATTTAATATGTAAATCCCAACTTAGAAACAGTCTAAAATAAACACTGTAGGCATTCCAGCAATAAAAGTAAAGTAACATTTCTTCTTATCACTATGGCCCCAGGCCTATCCTATATCTCACAGATAATTGAAGTTTTACCCAATTTCTTGACAAAATACAATATAATAAAGAATGACTGGTCATGGTTCAGGCCATCCAAATAACTGAAGCAGACCTAAAAAAAAAAAACAGATTGTGAATGGGGGGGGGGGGATGATTGTAGGATCCCTGCCCGTGCTCAGGAAAATCGCCAAAAATTTAATAATTCTGCTACTTTCAAATCCACTTCAGGCGGTCAAAGTCATAAGAATGGAGGAACACTGCAGAAGGCCTACTGACCCATGCAAGGCAGGTCCTTATCAAAACGACCTCTACCTAAAGCTACCCAAGAAATAGCTCCCGTACCCAATGACACCAATCAAACCCAGCCCCTCCCACTCATATATTTGTCCAATCTCTTCTTAAAGCCACCCAAGGTCCTAGCCTCTATCACCCTACTGGGAAGACTGTTCCACGCATCTACAACTCTGTTAGAAAACCAGTACTTACCTATGTCCTTTCTAAATCTAAATTTATTCAACTTAAATCCATTATTTCTGGTTCTTACCTGGTTCGACACCCTCAGTACTTTACTAATATCTCCTTTGTTTATGCCCGTCATCCACTTATACACTTCAATGATATCTCCCCTCATTCTACGTCTCTCCAGAGAGTGGAGATTTAAGGCTTTAAGTCTATCTTCATACGGGAGATTCCTTACACAGTAAATCATTTTAGTCATTCTTCTCTGTATGTTCTCTAACGAGTCTATATCCATCCTGTAGTAAGGGGGCCAAAACTGAGCAGCATAATCTAAATGAGGCCTCACTAGTGATGTATAGAGCTGTAAAATAACTTCTGGACTTCTGTTACTTATACTTCTTGAGATAAATCCAAGTAATCTGTTAGCCTTGTTGTGCACACTAAGGCACTGCTGTCTTGGCTTTAGATTTCTGCTTACCATAACTCCCAAGTCTTTTTCACATTCTGTATGATCAAGCTCTGCTTCACCTAGATTATAGCTTCGAGGGTTGTTTTCATTATCAAGAACTAGTACCTTATTTAGTAAGTTTATTCACGTACAGGTACACAAATAGTTACAAAAGTTGTCATACATAGCAGCATATATGTAGATTACCTAGGATTACCCAAAAAAAAATCAAAGTTACCTATTTGGCTTATTTCAGCTAATAAAACCATTAAAAACTACCCCAGAAAACATATCGCAGCCAGTAAATTAATCCAAACAGCACCAGTGGTTTGCTGTTCCCATTATGGGGCTCGATAATTTTTATACTGTGCACACCCACTGCACAGACCCGCTGTATCATGTCTAGGTCCAAATTTGCCGAATCACTTCATATTTGAGGGCGTTATGATTTAAGACAGGTCTAGGTGAGCGATACTTGCATCAATGACATCAATCCTACATCTACATAGAAGTCAGTGAAAAATTTAAGATTAAAACTGTATTAGCAAAATTACTTGGAGTGACATAAAATACACTTCAAGTCCTTTTTGATAAAAACAAATAGTTAATGAAAATATTATACAAGCACACTGGGTGAAGTAAAACACCATACACGCACAGGCAGTCCACACTTGAAGAGGCTCTATTAAAAAAAAAATTATGTAATACAAATTTTTCACAATGCAAATCTTATACCATAGACTTTTATTTTAGTAAGTTATATAAACATAGATACATTTTTGCTCTTCTGTCACAACTGGAGCCGTGACAGAATATACACTTTGTGATTGTGCTTTTTTACTAACTCGACCATGTCTGAGCAGTGTTAGGTTCCCATAATGTTAAATTTATGTTATAGTGTATTGTATTGGATTATTATTATAATCAAGGGAGAAGTGCTAGGCCAGCGCTGTATAGCCCTTGTGGCTTAGCGCTTCTTTTTGATTATAATAATAATAATGGAAGAGAATAAATAACCTACAGAACAGAGAACTTACCATGCAGTTTAGCATTCTTCTTGCCAAGGAGTCCAGCCATGGGGTTGAGGAGGTTTCTAAGGTTGGTATCAAACTCCTGGCGACTCTCCACACTGAGCATCCGTTCCATCACCTCGGTACAGCATGTTGACTCCCCACTGCTGCACATCTTCAGGTGGTCCCCTGAAATGTTCATACTTCTCATTTAGTCTTCGCACAAGCATAAGAAAAGAGAAGCTGACTCTAGAATAGACCTACTGACACAAACTAGGATGGTTCTACTGAATAGGAAGGACCTACTCTCACGAAGTTCTTCACTTAAATGATTGGCAGAGTTCCACTATCTACTATCTTACATAAAGAACTAATTTACAAACTGCTAGTGGAAACTAGACAGCATCCATCCTGGATGAGTACATCTGGTTTCATCTGAAATTTGTGATTACGTGAAGCGTTTCAGGCACTGTATTGTGAGTTATTCTCCACAATTCTATATATATATATATATACTACTATATACATATATACACATATATACATATATACATATATATACATATATATTATACTACATATATACACAATATAAAATATACATATATATACAATAAAAATATACATATATACATATATACATATATATACATATATATATACATATATATATCATGTGGGAGTTCGATACGTGGATTAGGTAAGAAATACTCACGTAGGCTGTTATTACGTATAATTGCAGTTATGTGGACAGAGCCCTTGCCAGCCGTACCTATCTCACTCGCTCCTCTCGTAATACTGACTAGCCGGCTGCCCAGTACCCAGTGTGAGGGGGCCTTTGATACTGCTGAGGTCAGCACAATATGAATTCAGATAGTGACTCAGGCAGAGACGGTTGGTCGTCGAGTCAACGGTACCCTGGTTACTGGTAACTGGTTACTACTACTGAGAGCTCGGCGACGCTAACGTATGTCGTCCCGACATACAACTAATACAAACTAGAGATGGCAGGTATACGGCTTGGGCTGATTCTATACAATGTCAAAGTACACAACAATTAAACATTATATATACATAAGTAGAACATTGAAATGAAAGCTTACGTAACTGAAACTGTAATGCAATACAAGGTATACTATAGTACAACTTAAAACTCAACAAATGAACAACGAACTCAACGTTGAGATTACAAGTGATAAAAAAAAAATTTTGATCGATCGATCTGTATTCATGTGATCTACGGATTCTGAGGAAGGAATATATACAAAGAAAGAGTTTTAACAGAAAGGCAGATTCGGTGCACGCAAATCTAGACTGTTAACTCTCAGAATGCGGAGAGAACATGAACACAAAAAAAAATTCTTGAATACTGATAAGTTGATACTGTAATTATTCATCTATACAGGTTATTTACATTTAACCCCAACTCTGCTAGGGTAAGATTGGCATATGCAGAATGGGTGTCATCTCTGGGAGGATCAAACTCTGTAGCATTGGCTAACTCATGCTGTATTTGAGGCAAATCTGAATTGGAAGTTACAAATGATACTTGAGGATTTCTCAATACCTGTCGTGTACGTAGGGAATAACGACATTCAGGTTGATCGTCTGACTGAGTATCAGAGGAAGAGAGTACAGGATCAGGAGGATTATCAGAGTCTGTCACATTAGTCTGGGTTGGAACATCATTATCATCACATACTAACTTCATATGATCCAAATGCGATTCTTTATACAGACCAGTATTAATCTCTCTAACCTTATACTTATTACCAGTGATATGTTCAACTACTCGATAAGGACCAACAAACTTTTGATCAAGCTTTGGCATTGCAGACGTTTTGTTAAAGTTAATCAGCATAACTCTCGAACCTACTTTGATTTTGGATGGCTTTGATCGAGTGTTTGCGACTCTTTTAAATTCTGCTGTTGATTTATGAAGTGTTTCACGGATTCTTCTAAAAACACTTTGAGCTAAGCTGGTACGAGTTGCTATGAAATCATCAGAGTTGTAATTTGGTTTCGGATTAGAATATAACAACTCATAAGGCAAACGTTTATCTACACCGTACAATGCATAATGTGGAGTGTCACCTATAGAAACATTGTAAGCAGAATTTATAGCACACTGCACATCAGGTATAACTTCATCCCAAGTTTCACTGTTGGGATTGATAGTGGCTCTCAAGACATCAAGTACTTTCTTATTGGTTCGTTCCGCTAACCCATTGCTGGCAGGATGATGAGGAACAATGGTGGATTTAGAGATCTTGTACAAGGTACACAAATTTTCAAGAATTTCATTACAGAATTCACCTCCATTATCTGTTACTAGGGACTTAGGGGTGGTATGCCTGCAGATAATGCGTTTCTTTAAACGCTTTAGCTACTGTCTCGGCAGTCTTATCTGCAATAGGAACTAACTCACAATATCTGGTGAAATGGTCTACCATAACACACAGATGTTTGTTGCCTTGGAGGGAACATTGGAAATTAGTTAACAAATCTAGCGCAACTCTTTCCCAAGGTTCGCTAGTAGTTGGATACACTTGGATTGGATTAGGACCATTAGCATTGCCTTTATGTTGCATGCAGACACTACATTTCCTAACATACTCAGAAATATCAGTTGCCATTCGAGGCCAAAAGTATTTCAATCTGGCTTGTTTTACTGAACGATCCATACAAGGGTGTGCAACACCTGGTACATCGTGAACTAGCTGTAAGGCTACATTCACTAGTGACTGTGGAATTACTAACTGGTATACTCTTCTGCTAGGAGTACCCAACTCGGCTGTTCGATACAGTAATTCTTGGTTCATGACAAAGTCACTGATGGGTGCTGGTGGCTTCACATTCAGAATAAGATCTTCCTGGAGCAGGAATCGAATCACACCAGACCACATGGGATCTGTTCGTTGAGCATTCTTTACATCTTCAGCACTAAATGGAGGGTCTGCAGTTACTATACTAACATGTCGCGATAAGGCATCTGCGACTACATTGGACTTGCCAGGTAAATGCTCAAAGGTGGGATTGAACTCTTGGATAGTCAAGGTCCATCTAGCTAACCTTCCAGTAGGTTGTTTGTTCTGGAATAAGGGTATCAGTGGAGCATGATCTGTCAAGACATGAACAGAGTACTGATAAATAATGTCTCGGAAGTGCTTTAAAGACCATACTATTGCTAAAGCTTCTTGCTCAGTTACTGTATAATTACGTTCAGCCTTTGTAAGGACTCGGCTAGCAAATGCAACTGCGTTGGTACTTGCCATCCAGTCCTTCTGAGCTAGTACGGCACCTATGCCAATTGAACTAGCATCAGTTGTCAGATAGAAGGGCTTAGAAAAATCTGGAAATTTCAAAATTGGAGCAGATGTTAGCTTTTCTTTTAGAGTTTGGAATGCTCTTTCTTGACGGAAGGTCCAAACAAAAGGAGCATCTTTCTTAAGCAACTCAGTTAGAGGAGCAGCTATGGAAGAAAAATTGGCAATGAAAGATCTATAAAAACCTGCTAAGCCCACAAAGGATCTTACGGCATCAGCAGTTTTGGGAGTTGGAAAATTTAGTACTGCAGTTACTTTACTTTGGTCAGTCGTAACCCCTCTAGGAGTGACTACGTGACCAAGAAACTTAATTTCTGATCTGAAAAATTGACATTTTGACAGTTTTTATCTTTAAATTGGCTTCTTCAAGCTTACCAAGTACTACATCAAGTCTTTTCAAGTGTGTATCCACGTCTTTAGACATGACGATTACGTCATCTAAGTACACCATAAGTGCATTACCTATGAGACCTCTAAAGATATTAGTCATGAGCCTTGAGAACGTGATAGGGGAAGATCGTAATCCAAATGCCATACGGAGGAAGTGAAATGACCTGTAGGAGTGGAGAATGCAGTTAGTTCTTGGCTGTCCTCGTGAAGAGGGACTTGCCAAAACCCTTGTAACAAATCTAGGTTGAAAAGACTTTGTTATCTCCGATATTACGTAAAAGATCACCCAGTACAGGGAGTGGAAAGCGATCTGGAATGGTTTTCGCGTTTAACTTCCTAAAGTCAATTACTGGGCGCCAAGTACCATCCTTCTTAGGTACTAGTATCAAGGGTGCATTCCAAGGGAATTGCTAGGTGCAATAACTCCATCATCAAGCATTTGATTGATCAATTCTTCTGCGACAGCAACTTGTGAATGAGGCATTCTGTACGCAGGTATGTAGATAGGTCTAGTACCAGGTTCAAGTGGAATACGATGGGACAATAAGTTCGTTATACCCATCTTCTCACCTGGTAAAGCAATGGCTTTACGACGTTTGTTCAACAGAGTCAACAAACGCTTGACTTCATCTGGGAAGTCAGTGGGAGCTAAGTCTTTCTCCTCAACTGGTGGAACAGATTGATCCAGTAAAGTGGATGAGGTCTCCCCGGCAGAAATAGCACCGACCCACTGGTCAGGTGACAACTCATCCTCTACCTGAACAGGGTAAGGATAGTGAACAAGGTCAACAAGATTGGTATTTGCTCTAAGGCGAACACTGTGACCAGAAGTGTTGGCCAGGTAGAAATGGATCTTACTATCTCTTACAACATGTAAGGATGGTTCAACAAATAGACCTTTTACTTTGCAGGAATCACTGTCAACTAGGACGTTATCACCATCTGGAACACTAGGAACAACTACAGACACTCTAGTGAGAGCACTAGCCGCAACAGAAACGTCTTTCTGCAGACGGCATGTGACATCAACAAGAGATGGCATTACTAGTTGCAAGTAATTGCATTTATCATGTGGGAGTTCGATACGTGGATTAGGTAAGAAATACTCACGTAGGCTGTTATTACGTATAATTGCAGTTATGTGGACAGAGCCCTTGCCAGCCGTACCTATCTCACTCGCTCCTCTCGTAATACTGACTAGCCGGCTGCCCAGTACCCAGTGTGAGGGGGCCTTTGATACTGCTGAGGTCAGCACAATATGAATTCAGATAGTGACTCAGGCAGAGACGGTTGGTCGTTGAGTCAACGGTACCCTGGTTACTGGTAACTGGTTACTACTACTGAGATATATACATATATACATATATATACATACATACATACATACATACATACATACACCTCAACGCTGTGACTAGCCAAGGACTTGAACCCACGTTGTTTTGGCCCGCCTCATGGTGAGCGAAAATCACA